CCTCTGGAGGGTCGGCTAGATCTGACTCAATGACAATGAAAGGGAGAGAGGATTAGAAATTATTACTATCTCTTCTTGCAAAAACAAGTTGTGCAAACATTTCCCTGTCCAGTAAATGTATCCCAGATAACTATTTACTGTTCATCACCTCTAAAAGGGAGAACTGACATATTCAGGGAAGACACTGAACTGCTTAATTTCCTAAAGGGCAGAATCTGAGATTTTGGTGCTCTACAGTCTCATAAGGTAACTAAAATCACATGTACATCACTATTCAATGCTCACATAACCCTTTGTCCAAGCTCTTGACCCTTGTTCCACAAGTGAGACAGTCAGCACCTTGATTTCTTCCTTGAAGAATAAGCAACCAGAATGTTCCCTGGAGACAAAGACAGCAAAGCTTCATCTCATATACTTTGTCATATTGTTAGGAGAGGCTGATTTTTTTTTTAGAAGGCCACCATATTTAGAAAGATGGAGGCAAGCAAAAGAAAGGGAAACCCTTTGGTAACACTATCATATTCACCATATTGAGTCTTCCTATCCATGAACAGGACACATTTTTCCATTTCCTTGGGTCTTTTATTGTATCTTTCAGAAATGTTCTGTAGTTTTTTTTTTTATAGGTCTCTTGCATCTCCAGTTACATTCACTCCTAAGTATCTCAATTTGTGGTTGGCTATTGTAAATGGTATTGCTTTCTTGATTTCCATCTCTGAGTTCTCTTTGTTACTGTAGAGGAATCCTATTGATTTTTGGATATTGATCTTATATCCTGCCACTCTACTTACTTGGCCTATTAACTCAAACAGGTTTTTTGTTGAGTCATTGGAGTTTTCTGTGTACACTATCATCTCATCTGCATATAGCTATATTTTAACCATTTCTTTTCTGATCTGGATGCCTTTTATTTCCCTCTTTTGTCATATTGCCCTAGCAAGCACTTCCAATATAATATTGAAAAGAAGTAGTGACAGTGGGCATCCTTGTCTGGTCCCTGCTTGCAAGGAAAATATTTTTAGTCTTTCTCCATTGAGAATGATGTTGGCTCTTGGTTTTGCGTATATACTTTTCACTATGTTGAGGGAATTCTCTTCCATTCCAATTTTGCTGAGTATCTTTATAAGGAAGGGTTGCTGGATTTTGTCAAATACCTTTTCTGCATCAATTGCTAAGATCATATGGTTCTTGTTATCTACTTTGTTAATATAGTGAATTACGTTAATTATGTTGAACCATCACTGCATACCTGTGATGAATACCACTTATACCCTGAGCATATGAGAACTGACGCACAAACTGAAATTTGTACACCAATGTTCATAGCAGCATTATTCACCATCGCAAGAACATGGAAACAGCCCAAGTGTCCACAAACAAATGGATTGAGAAATTATGGTACATTCACACAATGGAATACTATGCAGCACGCAAGAGCAATAACTTTGTATATTATTACCTAACTTGGGAGGGACTGGAATGCATTATGCTGACTGAACTAACTCAGTTCACAAGGATAAATATTGTTGGTTGATTTAAGTTTAACGGTTCCACCTGTCCTAGTTTTCCCCCTTTCTAGACAAATTACCTCTGTTAGCATTTAAAGTATTGAATTGCACCAAATGCAGTCCCTACCAAGTCAGAGGTTCTTCATAAAATCGCCAACAACATCCCTGCAAAGAAAGTGTCACCAGCTTCTTCTTTCTGCTCAGGGACACAGCCATTCACACTGCTGCCTGTTGTCGTTAGGTCTCATCGAGTCACCCATGACTCATAGTGACCCTTTGAGCAACAGATCTGACCTTTGCACTATTCTGCACCATCCTCAAGATGCCTGATGTACTCAAGTCGATCAGTACTGTCAATTCATCTTACAGAGGGCCTTCCTCTCTTCTCTGACCCTCCACCTTTCCCACTGTTGTTTCAGAAGCCATCAAATCGAGTGTGGCACGTAGCAACACACTGAACCCTTTCCTATATTTTGTCATTCTGATCATCTCTAAATTTTCCCATTAAGCATTGACAAATATGTCTCACTAAAGAAAACCCCACAAACCCCATTGTTGAGTCACGTGTCTATCCATTGGCTGAAGCTACAATTTGTGTCTTTCCATGATTGTTGAGTTTATTGGGAAATAGCAAGCTTCACATAATCTAGAATAAAGAATGACTCATTTTTTAAGACTTAAGTGCATCTGATTCAGGCCATAGTCATTCCAGTTACTAGCTATGTATCTGAGAGCTGGACAATGAGTAAGGATGACCGAAAACGAATTGACGTCTTTGAGCTGTGATGTTGGAGAAAAGTACTGAACAATCCCATGGATGGCCAAGAAATGAACAGATCTGTCTTGGAGAGTGTGCAGCTGGAGTACTCTTCGGAGGCAAGAATCATGAGGCTTCTGCCTAGCTTACTTTGGGCATGTTGCTAGGAGGTGCGTAAGAAGGACATGATGCTGGGAAGGGTGGAGTGTTGGTGAAAGAGAGGAAAACCCTCAAAGAGGTGTATTGACAAGGTGACTGCTGCTATGTGAACGGGCTATTGTATGTCAAGAAGTGTGAGGATGGCTCAGGATAGAACAAGATTCAGATCTTTTGATCATAGGGTTGCTATGAATCATGCTTGACTCACAGCACCTAACAACAGCATTTTCCCCCCCAATCAGGACAGCCTCTTTCAGTCCTGCTCCAAGCAAGCCTCTCTCTGGACCTTAGCCTCTCTGTGAGGCGGTAAATTGTTACAGAAGACTATTCATCTCTCTTTCATGGTTTGTTCCTCCTGGCAGAGCTATCTCTTGTTATTCTCATTCTCAATTCACTTGGGGAGAAGTTGCTAATCTGACTGGAGAATTTATAACATCTAATGGCCATGTTTTAGTAATGGCAGCAATTATTACATCCTAAAGTTAGGAACTCAGTTTATCATCCTGATAGTTTCTCCTCTCCAATGAACTAAGTACAACTAGGCATGGGTTATTTCTTGGGAAAAGCCTCACAGCCTACCTTGTAAAATTAGCACATTTTCCTTCAGTCTGTTTTTCAAAATTTAGAGTCATGGAAAATTCGGAGGAATTACTTTAGCCTCAAAGCCTAAAGGCATTTTTCAATATAATTTGAACCAGAGCCCTATGTTCAACATTAACAAAAATCCCAACCCCTTCATCCATTTTCTCTTTGTAAGGTTTTTTAAAAAAATCTTTTGATAGAAAACAAAAATTTAATTCATTGATTGCAAATCAAATGAGAGCCCTTGTGGCATAGTTCACAGGAAGTTGCACTGTTAACCCAAAGATGGTACCACCCTCTGGTGGTTCAAATCCACCGCAGCTCCAGAGGAGAAAGATTGACTGTCTCCTCCCCTACAATTCACAGCATGGGAAATTTTCTGTAGGGTCAAGTATGATTCAGTTCCAACTCAGCAGAAGAGAGAGAAAGAGAAAATAAAATGAGAGGGGTCCCAGAGTGGCATATAAGATTAAGAACTAATTAAAGTTTGTAAATTCAAACCAACCCAAAGGTGCCTCAAAGGAAGTGCCTAAAAAAAAAAGGAAGTGCCTAGTGACCTGCCTATTAAAAGTCATTACCTAACACAACAAGATAAAAGTAAACAATCCAATTGCAAAATGGGCACAGGATATGAAAACACACTTCACCAAAGAAGACATTCAGATCACAAACAAGCACACGAAGACATGTTCAAAGTCCCTAGCTCTAAGAGAGATGCAAATCAAAACAACTATGAGATATCATCCCAGCCCAGTAAGAATAGCAAAATTTAAGAGCAACAAACAGCAAATGTTGGCAAGGTTGCAGAGAAACTGGAACCCTTATTCACTGTTGTTGAGAGTGTAAAATGTTACAATCACTATGGAAGGCAGTATGGTGTGTTCTCAAAAAGTTAGAAATAGAAATTCCATTTGACCCAGAAATTCTACTACTGGAAATATACCCTAAATATATCAGAGCTACCACCCAAACATATATATGCACACCAATGTTTATTGCTGCATTGTTAGCAATATCAAAGAGATGGAAACAACCCAAGTGCCCATCAACAAACTAATGTAAAGAAACTGTGGTATAGTCACACAGTGGAATACTATGCAGCACTGAAAAACAAGGAACTCATAAAATGTTATAAAAAATGGGTGACGCTTGAGGACATTATGCTCAGTGAAATATCTCAGGCACAAAAAAAAGGACAAATACTGCATAATGCCACTGTTATAAAACAGGACTAACTTGGGGGCTAGGGGGAAACTAAGGAAAGAGGTGCCAAATAATGAGCACTACATTTAAATCAATGAATAAAAGAACTACCTAAAAGAAATATATGATTAGGTATTATTTGCATGACAACAGTTCAGAATACGAGGTGCATATTGCAAAGAGGACTGGGGTGAGAGGGAGGAAAGAAATTGTGCAGTAATGAAAGGATCTTGTTAAAGAGAAAAATGAACTATGGAGGGAGGAAGGGTGAAAAATGTACAACAATGAATGACTGGAAATCAAGTTTTCTGTAAACTTTCTTTAAAATATCAATGAAAAAAATCAAAAAATACTTGGGAAAAAAAGGGATAAATACTTCATGACGCCACTGCTATAAGACAGGACTGACATGAGGGTTGGGAGGAAACTAAGAAAGGAGGGGTAAATAATGTACACTGCATTGAAACAGATGAGAGAAAGAACTGTTTAAAAGGAATATGTGATTAGGTATTATTTGCATGATAACAGTCCAGAATAAGAGCTGCATAGGAAAGTGAAGGTAGGGGGCAGGAAATTGTGCAACAATTTTTTTTTTCCCAAAGAGAAATGCAAACTGAGGAAGGGAGTGTAGGAAGGAAAATGTTTAACAATGAATGAATGGAAATCCAAATCTCTATAAACTTTCATTAAAATCACAATTAAAACTAATTTTTTTTTAAAGAAAGAAAACACCAAGACTTGGGTTAAGTGCCCCTTAATCTTTAAACTCCTTGCTCTTTATCCCTTTAAAGAGCCCCTTCATCTTCTCCTGCACATTCTGATATCTGCAACTCCTTCCTACTTCCTGTTCCTCGGAGAACTCTCCAAACAAGCTCCTGCATACAAAGCTCCTCCCGAGAGTCCAGTACAGCAATGCAGCCCAAGACCGGTCTCTGGTAATGTTTTTAGAGAAGAACTGAGAATGCTAAAAGGCATGAGCTACTCATTTGCAACCCAAGACCATTCTCCAGTAGTGCTCTTAGAGAGGAAATGAGGACGGTAAAATGCATGAGCTACTCACTTGGGTTTTCCCTTAAAGCAAGGTTTATGTAGAAATAGAATTCTAGTTCAAATCCATTTTTCTCTTAGAATTTTTTAAAATAACTGACTTCTGCTATCCAATGTTGCCAGTAAGTGTTCTGATAACAATCTAATCCTTGTTTATTTGTGTTGCGTTTTTAGTTCACATCTGAATTTTTTTTTTTTATTTTCCTGTTTAGTCTTTGGTTACCCACATAATCTACAAATGATTAACCATGACCCCCTTCTGTCCCTTAGAATCTAGTTTCTGCATTCCTAGAATCCCTCTCCTTGGCAACAAACATCTGCTGTGTTGGAAGCAATAGCTTCCTTTATCAATATCAATAATACTCATTGCCTTTAGCACTTCACAATTTATGGAGAATTAAATGAGCTAATTTATAAGTCTATGTGCTTTCTGTTGGTCCTAAGATCATGATATTTTCTCATTTCCTGGAACAATGTCTTCTTTTCCAGCAGATAGATTTTAAAATATTATTCTTTGTGATTTCTAAAAATATGTCTTTAAGTTTACTCTCTTAGTCTAATTTTTCATTTACTTTTTAAATCAGCCTTGCCACTCTTTTCCTGGACATAAATGCATTTTATTAGAATAAATATTAAATAAATAAAGCTCCCGTTTTCTCCAAGCAAGCTATCAAGGAAGCACAAATGCCAAGATATACTTAAAATGAAAGAGAAGTGTAAATTTTTAAGACCTTCAGACTGAATATAAAACACTATAGATTTCTTGATGCAAAGATAAGTTTATTTTATGTAAATAACTATTAGTCTAAGAGTAAATGAATAAAGCATTCACAATGCATTTTGGAATTCCTAAGATACAGTAATTTAGGAGACATTTATATATTCATTCATGGACTCCTTCAAACTGCTACTATTGTATGAAAGTGTTAAAAATGTGATGGCCTGTTCGTAGCTTACCTTGCTCTGAAAGAAATATGTGAAACCAATGGGTAATATAAAAATTTTGTTGAAATGAAATATAAGACTATTACAACTATTTTACGTTATTTTGATTTAGGGAGGGTTGCTAGTTCTTGGACTTGTAGATGAATGTGTATTATGCATGTATATTTGCATGTGCGCCTAGTGGATATAAATGAACAATCTCTGGTGGTATAGTCTATAGAAAGTTGTGCCATGATTCTAAAGGTTCGAATCCATCAACTACTCCAAGGAAGAAAGATGTGCATCTCTTTATGTGCCGTTTATAGCTTTAAAAACCCAAAGGAGGTACTTTCTACCTGAAAGCAATGAGTTTTTAATTGTAAGATGTGGTTATATTAACTTTTTAAAGCCTTAAAATAGTTAACTAATTGTCAGTAGGAGTAACTGTCACCACATTTACAAACCAATAGAATGTGATTCTCTAACAGAATAAACATTATGGTCAGTTTCCAACATACGAATGCACTAACATGCAAATTAACAGGAAAAAAAATATCTAGAGGGTGGATTGCTGACACAGAATGCAGAAAAAGTTTGGAGGCTGTAATTACATTATAGCATGTTCTAGACAGATAAAAAGTAATTTAAGTTAGGAATTTGTGCATATCCATGTGTGCATAACCATATGTAAGAGCTAATGTGTACAAACAATACCATATGCATACGTGAGATGTGCTAAAGCACCCAAAGTCTTCACAGCCTTTAGGGATGACTGAAAGTTGCATGTATTGTTACTATGTACTGTAGAGTTGGAACCAACACATCGCTGATCCTCCAGTAGGTTTTCTGAGGATTTAAATCTAAGGAAAGAGATTTCCCATCTTTCTCCTGCAAAGCCACTAGTGGATTCAAACTGTGTGCCTTACTTACCATTAGGCTATCAGAGATGCCTATATATTCACTATATACTACTAGACCACCAGAGCTCCAAGTATATATATACTTTCTTAATAATTTGAAAGTTTATGGTAGACCATCAGTCTGTTGGCTAAAAAATCAGATTATGTTCAACATTTAATCCCTTCCATTCTGAAATTTGTTTTTAAAAGATGGTTAGTTACAAAGTAATTACATAGCAAATTACTTTTCTCTCAATATAACTATTGAGGGCAGATGTCTGACTTTACCACTAATTATTACCTAGTGTTTGATGACAAAAATTCATTGTCATACACGTGTACATACATAGAGAAATAAACCTCTTGCCTCTTGCATGTTACTCAACAAGACAGAAATAGTAGGTTTTAGAAGACTTAGACCAACTGGGATTTTGAAAAATTAATTATGCCAGGTAATTTAGGGGACTATAGCAGGCAAGAGATAGAAATTATCAGTGATGGCTTTATCTTATTTAGATCTGCAATCAACACCCTTGGCACCAACAACCAAATCAAAAGACATGTGACGTTGGGAAAGTCAATCAGGGACCTCTTGGAAAAGGACATCGTGCTTGGAAGGGTCAGGGAAGAAGGGGAAGGCCCTCAACAAGATAGATTGGCACAGTGACTGTCACAGTGAGCTCATATGTGCCAGAGGTGATGAGGATGGCATAGGCTGGGTGGGCTGGGGTTCAGGTCTGTTAGTCATTTAGTCACTATAAGTTGTAGTTGACTGGATGGCACTTAACAATAGCAAGTAAAGTTTTCTAAGTCAAAGTTTCTTTAAGAAGATTCTGAAGAGGATAGTGAACACTATGTGCAGGTGACTCTAGTAGTAGCAAATGGAAATTTAGAAATAGTAAATGGAAATATAAATTTAGAAATAATAAATGGAAATTCAAATTACTATTTAAAGATGTTGTTGTTTTTGTTGTTGATTGCCTTCGAGTCAAGCACGAGTCAGTGACCCCAGGAACAAAAGGCCTGAGCCCCTCAACAACTATCAACATTTTTCAAAGTTCATAGAGTTTCCAGAGGCATGTTATTTAGGAAGTGGATGTCATTCCTCTTTCCAAACCTGTCATAGAATGTTATTGCTTACATTTTTTAAGCAAAATCCTTAAAACACATGGATAAATGATAAAATTTGATAGCATCATTTATTTCTTTAATTTAAAAGATTACCAAGAAAACCCTACCTTAATAAATTCAAGTCCTCCACTAGTTCCCATATTATTGAATTTTAAGTGTGCCAAGAGACACCAGTAACCTCTTTTTTTTTTCATTTTCTTACATTCTCTGATTTCTATGACATTTTTCTCTGCTATATCTCTCTTTATAATTGCTACTTCCTAATTCCTTTTCTTATGCTATTACTTAAATGTCAGCAAATTCCAAGGTTGAGACCTCCCAATCTTTTCTTGTTCGATACAGGTTCTAACTGTAATATCATCCACTAGATAACTCTACCATCACCTCTAGACAAACGATTCCTAGTTGTACATTTACAGCTCAGTACACTCTTCTGACCTCCAAACCTAACTTATCAACTGTTTGCTGAATATCTTTGTCTTCACACTTCAAGCTTAACATGTTCTAAAATAAATGTGTCAAGACTGTGACACACAAGTTAAGCACTTGACTACTAACCTGAAAAGTGGTACCCCAAACCCGCTCACTGGCTCTGTGGAAGAAAGACCTGCAGATGTGCTTTCACTAAAAATTGTAGTCAAGAAAATCCTATCAATCACCTGGAGATACTGTGAATTAGAATTTTTCTCTTACAATGCTGCCTGTATTGTATGATGATGTCTACTTTATCAACTATATTAATTTCCAAGGGCTGTCATGCAATTTATGGCAAACTTGGTGCCTCAAAGCAAGGAAAAAAAATTGTTTCTTTCAGTCACAATTCTGGAGCCTGAAGTCAAGATGTTTGCAAATTTTGTCTTTCTGGAGGCTCCAGCAAAGAATTTACTTCATAGCATCTCCTAGGCTTGAGCGTTCCATAGCTTGTACATGTTATCACTCCAGTCCCTGCTTCCATCTCCCTGTATCTTCTCTCAGTCTTCACATTGTCCTCTCTTAGAGTTCTCCCTTAGAGAACATCATTCGTTGAATTTCGAGTCCACTCTAATGCAGTATGAACCTATTTTCAAAGAAAGTTACATTCTGAGGTGCTTAGTAAGCATGAAATTTGCGAGGATACCGTTCAGTTCAGCTCCATGACCAATCTTTATGTTTCTACATGATATGTTAATTCACCCCTTCAATTTTTCCCTCCCTTACGTCAACATGAGTATTTTTCTTTTTTTTTCCAATTAATTTTCTGAAACAAATAACTGATACCATCTCTGTTTTGCTTAAAATTCTGGAGTGGTTTTCAATCAGCACCTTAAACCAAATAATGCATTATTGAGCACCTTAAAGATAAAGTACAGTAAGTGTTTTGGAAGCTTGTGAGTCTCTATGTCCTCTACAAGGCAGTTAACCAACACCCCTTTTCTCACTCTGCATCTCTTGTCTTAAATATCTTTCATTTATACTATCAGCCAAAGTTTCATTTATCTTTCTAGTTTCAACATCACTTTCTTTTGGACAACCACGCACCATTAAGTCATTCTATCAGAATCAGTCACCCTTTCATGTTATTTTTAAAGCATTAATAGGAAATGAGGGAACATCAGTCCTGAGGTTTACAGCAACACTTTCAAAGTGTTCTAATAAAGAGACAGTTGTATGAGAATCCATTTTTAAATCTATATATGGATTTGACTCAGTGTTGGATGTAGGTGGTTTAGGGTTAGAGCAGGGTTCAGAGCTGTTGTACACAGGGTTGTTATGAGTCACCAACGACTCGATGGTACATAACAACGACATAATATTTTTTTCTGGAAAGGGTGTGGCCAGTGTTCCTTGGAGAAAAAAATGGCCAACCTTCATCTTTCATATTTTAGATGTGTAAGTTAGGCAAGGCTATTCCTTGGAAAGGGATATCATGCTAGAGGGTCCTTGAAGGAGAAGAA